TGTGAAAAGTAACGAGGACACCAAGAGGAAGCGCGAAGAAAATGCAAAACTACGAGAGATGGCTCGTAGAAAGGAGCTCGGTCTACCTATGGACGAGGAAGAAATGAGACGCTTTGATGAAGAGCGGCGGTTTATCGGCCCATCTTTATCCCTTGTACAAAGAGCCAACAGCTCGAGAGAAGGGGATGGGGACGGGGTCGAGGCACTTGAGGATGCGAATGGTGTGGATTCGGATGACGAATACGTAGGTGTCGTTCGAACTACGACGCGTGCCCCTCAAATACGATACAACCAAGACGAAATCGTACTGGACGAAACGCAGTTACAATACGATCGTCAAGCAGAAGCCGACGCTGAACTTGCTTCTCGAGGGCCTGTAGAAGTGATCATCGAAACAGACCGTGATAAATTTACCAACTTTGCTTCGTTCCCCAGAAAGCCGAGGCCTGATAGGTGGAGCAAGGAGGAAACCGAGACATTCTATCTCGTAAGTTCCGATTCAATTCCTTCGAAGCAACATCTTATCAGTTTATTAGGGCCTACGAATGTTTCATACCGGCTTCGACTTGATTGCTAGGCTCTTGCCAAACAGGACCCGCACAATGGTACGAAACAAGTTTAGAGCCGAAGACAAGAAGAATCCTCAAAAGATCACACATCTTCTCAGCAACAAGATGCGGCTTCCATATGGTGAGTTTCTGCCCCTTGCTGTGGCTTCCCTGACATTGCTATAGACCTCGAGTTGCTTTCACGGGAAACCGGGCATGACTTCAGTGGCCCCATTCCTCAAGTGGAGATTGTGAATCCCGTAGAGACGTCCAAGGAGGGAGAAGAAAGTGATAAAGAAGAGACCATGTCTGTCAAACTGCGTCAATCAACCGCCCCACCCAGCGGGATGGATTCTGATCGTGGTGAAGGTACTAGTATTTCGACTAACCGTGGTAGACCAGTATCAAAGGCAAAAGAAAAACGAAGACCAAGTAAATCGTCTAAGCCGCGTTCGAGCTCTGGAGTCCGAAATGATCCTCAAGCGATGGTCGTACATAATGCTATAGAGAAACCAGAAGAAAGTACATCCCGACCCCCTGCAATAATCCCCTCTTCCACTCGAAAGGCCCCCGTCATTCGTTCCGTCACCTCCTCGAATGGCGGAAGATTGGTAATGCCCCGAGGTGTACGTAGTTCCATGTATGAGGAATAATTTCGAGTTCTTGGCAGATATAGGATAGCTTATTACCTGAAATTGTACATTATTTGTTCGTTTTTGCCACATGTATATTCGGTAGCACGTGGAGAGGCACTTGTTGAATCAGCCATGTCCACCAAGACCTACGAGTGTCACTGGAAGGATTGTAGGAGGGAGTATACCGACCTGGACCAATTCAAAGGACATGTTATGGCACACATAGACATTTTGGACCCGGTTCTTGTGAAGGATATACCGAGGTACCGGAAAGCTGGAGGGTACAGCACTGGTCGGTTATATATTCGAATCAACATTATTGTGACATATCGAATTAATCTCGTCGTTTTTAGGGTCTTCTGATGTTCAATCCAGCTTTGGATATCTCAACTCGACGCAAAACTCGCAACCGCTACAATTTGCGTCACCGCCGCAATTTCGAGCTGGTCTAAACTCTGCAGCAAATTTCACTGCGTTAGGACTCGTAGCACAAGCTACTCCACCAA